CCGGGTGGGATGAGTCAGGGCATCAGTATTTGACCTATGTATGCCAGGCTGAGGGGTGGGGGTCCTTCTTGCAGTCTGAGCTTGGACAGAGCAGCGTGCTACAGAGACCATCCGCGTACAGCTACAGATCCAGGAGCTGCTGCCAGGACTGGGGGATGTGGCAGCTTGGCTCCTCCTACTCTTTTTTGGCAGAAGTGGCAGCTGCCAGCCCAAGTGATTGTAGGGGGTAGGGAGAAAGGAGTTGGGCCCTGAGATAGCCCCACAGGGGTAGGTCTCTCTCCCACCTCACCCCTGTGTCACTGTCTCATTCCCCACCCCCCTCTGCTGCTCTCCCCCCCCCCACAGGTTCACAGAGGCTGAAGCAATGGTGATGGGTGATGTGACGTATGGGGCTTGCTGTGTGGATGACTTTACTGCAAGGGCCCTGGGAGCGGACTTCCTGGTGCACTATGGCCACAGCTGCCTGGGTATGGTGGGCCAGGATTCTGGCAGGGGGGCAGAGAGGCAGGACTACACGCTAATCCCCCATCACAGTGCCTTCTTGTCCTGCTCCCAGTTTCTGGGATGGCCTTGGCCTTCCTGCTCTGCAGGTGGATCTTTCCTTTGGATTTGGTTGCCTTGGAAACAGTGTTGCTGTCCCAGATGTGGGTGTTTGAAACGCTGTTGGTGGCAGAGCAGGCTGGGCCCCTGGCCGAGTGATAGAGAAGGAGCTTCTGACGGACCTGTGACTGCCCCCCGCCTCCTACCCACTCCTTCTATCCCTAGGCAGAAGCCATTGTCCTGGCTGCTCAGAGACCTTGGCCCAGGCAGGCCCCCTGCCCTTGTGGCCTTCCAAAATAGTCTCCTGAACTCTTGCCTCCTCTCAGTTCCCATGGATACCTCAGCCCAAGACTTCCGGGTGCTGTATGTCTTTGTGGATATCCGGATAGATACTGCCCACCTCCTGGACTCTCTCCGCCTCACCATTCCCCGAGCCAGCTCCCTTGCCCTGGTCAGCACCATTCAGTTTGTGTCGACCTTGCAGGTAAGTGGACAGATGGCAGCCAGCCTCCAGTCTGCTCCTGTCCCCCATGGTAGGTGCTCCAGGCTGGTCCTCTGGCCCTGGCTCTCCCTCCTCACTCACTTGCTTCCCTTCCCCTCATCATCCTTACAGGCAGCTGCCCAGGAGCTAAAAGCTGAGTACCGTGTGAGTGTCCCGCAGTGCAAGCCCTTGTCTCCTGGGGAGATTCTGGGCTGCACGGCCCCCCATCTGCCCAAAGAGGTGGAAGCTGTTGTGTAAGTGAAAAACGGAGGGCCAGTTGTAGAGACATAAGAAATGTACCCTAGAAGGGAGCTTGACAATCACTGTGTAGGAAAGGAAACTGAGTCTAAAGCTTGTCAACTGTTGGCTCAAGGTCACTCTGCAAAATAGGGACCAGATAGGGTTTCAGCTTTCCTTTCCTGTCTCCCTCTCAGGTGCTCTGTCCACCATCTAGGAGGCTATGCCCAGGGTGGGGCAGGAATCAGAGGGCCTCATGGGGTTGGGGTGGTGGTGTTGAGGGTGGGCTAGAAATGGTGGGAATATAATTGGAGAAGATGGATGGGCACGTTCAGGCTGCAGCTCCATTAATTTAGCATCCGGACAGCTAACAAGCAGGAGCAGCATGTCTCCTGCCGCCTAATTATTTTAGGTAATGGAAATGCTTAATGTTGTGTGAATGCAGCCAGCCTCAGAGCCGACAGCTCCTCCAGCTGGGACTAGGGAGGGGAGTCCCATTGCTAGCTAATGGCAGAAAAAGAGGGAGGGGCACTCCTCCCTGACTCAGCGCCACCTTTGGGGCTGTAGATGCTGGCCCCACAGGCCTTGCTGCTCCCACAGAGGACAGCCCTGCCCTTAGGCCCACATCAGGGCCTACCCCAGACCAGACTTGGAAGCCCTGCTCCCCAAGGGCAGAACTCTGTGCCTGCACCTGCATAATGCTGAACTCCTAGGTGCCTACCCTTGGGGGCTTCAAGGTATATATTGGAGGGAGAGATACCCTGAGTGTTGGCCAGTCATCACAATTCAGTGTGGTCTCCAAGAAAAAAGGAGCTGCCATGGCAGATTGACCTCTATGCTCTGTCTTCTCCATGGCCTGAGGAGTTTCTTTTAGGGATAGGCTTGAAAAAGCCTGGTGGTTAAGCCTAGAGTTGAGTCCCGGATACACTGCTTAATAGTTCTGTGACTATGGGCAAGTTTCTTAACGTTACAGAACATTAATTGTATCTGTTGTAAAATGGGGATACTATAGGTGGCTTGGATGGTTGTTTGATAGGACTGAGAGAAGGCCTACATGGCCAAGTGCTTAGCTCAGGCCTTGGTGCACAGAAGGCACAAATCCAGTAAAAGTAGTTGTTACAACTCAGTAACAAGGCCTGAGAGCTAGTTCGGACAGAGGGAGCCAGTGTATAACCCAAAACCTCATTTACAGCATCGATGATACCTTGAACCCTACCTACTTGCCATGTCTGTGTTGAGCTAGGTGAGGGGGAACCTGTCCCGCCACCTCTAAGTTATGATCTCTAGAGCCCTGAGCAGCCTTTTCATGGCCCTTGGCTGCCCTGCTACTCTTCCCTCAGAAGGTTGGGGTGAGGAGCAGTTCCTAAGCTCTGTATTACATAACTAGAAGGGCCTTACACTCATCCAGTCACACTCCTTATTTTTGCATTTGAGGAAACCAAGGCCTCAGGAGGCAAAATGATGACTTAGGCTAGTGGCTAGTGTACAGACACACACACAGAGCACATTCAGCGAAGAACTCAATCTGGACCTGCAAGCCACTGCCTGCCTTTTCTACTGCTCCACCCCACCTCATACTCACCATCCCCTTTCTCCACACTGCAGATATCTTGGAGATGGCCGCTTCCATCTGGAGTCTGTCATGATTGCCAACCCCAGTGTCCCTGCTTACCGGTATGGACTAAGGTGGGGTGGCCAGCTAGGGAGGGGGGTGGGATTTCCCTGCCACTGAAGCCCTCAGTTGGCCAAAACTTCCTGAATCTGCTGGCCTGACCCAGGGCTACTGCTGCATGGGACCCACCCACCCCCTGGGATTCACACTGAGATCCTGGATCGCCATCCTACTTTTGCCTGCTCCATCTGTAGGACTGAACTTTCCCATGATAATCTCTGCTCTTGCCTCTGTTCCTAATTACCTGCATGGAGCCTACAGTTTCAGGAGACCAAGGGGCTGGGTCAGGGAGCTGTGTGTACAAAAGGTACTGTGAATGGCTGTCACCGTAACCCTTATAGCTTCTTTTCCAGATATGACCCATACAGCAAAGTCCTGTCCAGAGAACACTATGACCACCAGCGCATGCAGGCCAACCGCCAAGAAGCCATAGCCACAGCCCGCTCAGCCAAATCCTGGGGCCTTATCCTGGGCACTTTGGGCCGCCAGGGCAGCCCCAAGATTCTGGAGGTCAGAGGGCTTGGGAAGGCCTCTGGAGGATGGAACTGACTAGAAATCCAGCTGGAAAAATCAGTACATTAAAGGATTTAGACTTGGCTTGATCATGGTGTTCTGAGCTTGGCCTCCCTCTTCCAACAGCACCTGGAATCTCGTCTCCAAGCCTTGGGACTTACCTTTGTGAGGCTGCTGCTGTCTGAGATCTTCCCCAGCAAGCTTAGCCTACTTCCTCAAGTGGATGTGTAAGTTTTCTCACCTTACCTCCCTAGCTATGACTCCGGCTAAGGAAGCTTAGATCTGAGTCCTACCCAGCACATAATGAAGGCTGGAGTTGTTAGGAATTGCGTCCATGAAATTTTAATGTATACAGAGATTTCATCCAGCAGGGGCTACCTTTGGCTGTGAGTCACACGCATTTTGGCTTGGGGGCTCACCAGTAGCTGCATCATCACAGTCACTCTGTGTGAGATGAGTTTGAGTGGTGTTTGGCACCTGCAGTGTATCAGAACTAAATTAAATTTGATTCTGGGGATATGATCACAGATGAGCTGCCCAGGCCCCGCCCTCAGAGAGCTAACAGAGGGCTCTCCTGGAGGAAACAAGAGAAAACAAACAGCACTATAGTGTTACTCTAAATAGTAGGTGATTGTGTTTACTTTGGAAGTAATAGTAAGCATTCATTGGGTGTGTTGGGGATACAGTCATGTATTTTAGCATGCTGCCCAGAAGGAGGGTACCCTCTCTCTCCCCCCCCACCCTTGGGTTTGACTTGACTTCCCTTCCTAGGTGGGTGCAGATAGCATGTCCACGCCTTTCCATTGACTGGGGCACAGCCTTCCCCAAGCCGCTGCTGACACCCTATGAGGTAACCCTATGTTTTAAAAATACCCAAGAGAGAGTTGGCTTTGCACCTGGTTCTCTCAAGGGAGGGATCTGCAGTGGGGTGGGCAGCGCTTCTTACAGCTGACTCATTTCCTAGCTGTGTGGCCTTGGGTGAGTACCCTAACCTCTCTGAGCCTCACATTTCTTGTCTGTGTTCTGAGGATAATAGGACCTCCACAGGCCATCGTGAAGACAGAATTCATTAATCCTGTGCAGAAAAAGTTGGCAAATGTTATTGCCCGGTTATGCTCCTCTAGGCAGTGGTGGCCCTGAGGGACATTTCCTGGCAGCAGCCCTACCCCATGGATTTCTATGCTGGCATCTCCTTGGGGCCATGGACAGTGAACCACGGACGGAACCGGCCCCCCCAGACCCCCAGGCGGCCCGAGCTGGAGAAGGTAGGCAGGGACTGGAAGCTGGAAGAGACCACAAAGCGCAGGCCTGGCCCTGGCCGCCTCCCTAGTGACGCCGGCCGAGGCCGCCGCGGTGCGGCCGCTACGGGAAATGCACAGGAGCGGGGTGGAGGGGAGGACGTAGCGGAATGGAGACCCTGACCGAAGTCTGCGACCTCCGATGCAGGAGGAGTCCCCGTGCCACTCTCCAGTCGCGGCTTGCGACGGTTGCAACTGCGGAGACGAAAAGGGAGCGCCGCGGGCTCAGTGAGATCCTGCTTGGGCGCAGGTACCCGCCTCTGCTCCAGCTGCGCCCTACCCCCTCTCTTTTGTTATGGGAACACCTGCTCGCCCTGAGGCCCGCCTTCGGGGTGGTGCCATTTGGTCCCGCCCCCCGTACTTTCGACTTCCGCTCGGGGAACGGCTGCTTCCGGTCCGTGGCGCGTTGCCCGGCGAGATGGCGGCTCAGCAGCCCCTGCGGGTGTTGGCCCTGGCCGGCTTCCGGCAGAGCGAGCGGGGCTTCCGCGAGAAGACTGGAGCGCTGAGGAAGGCGCTGCGGGGCCGCGCCGAGCTCGTGTGCCTCAGCGGCCCGCACCTGGTCTCGGGTGCCGTGGGCTCCGAGGGCGCTGGGCCGGACTCCGGTGAGACGGAAATGCACCCTGCGTCTTCTACCGGGATTCGTTTCCATAACTCCCCTCAGCATACTCCCACGCTGTATCCTCGCCTCATTCCTCCCCCCTGCCGAACCCTTCGTTTCTTCCTTCCCAGACTTCCGCCTTGATCAGTCTTCCCTTCTCCCAGATTTTCCTCTCTCCCCTCGGCCACCTCTTTGCACACATTGTCATTCCCAAGCCTTCCGTCCGTCCCTTTTTCACTTCTCATCCCCTAGGTACCTGCTTGCCCTGACCCCATCCTTTCCTATCACTGTAGAGCCCTGCCTTCCGCCGGAGGAGCAGCCTCGAGGCTGGTGGTTTTCAGAACAGGAGGCAGACGTTTTCAACGCCCTGAGCCAGCCCACGGTATGCAGAGGTCTGGAGGAAGCCTTGGGAACCGTGGCACAGGCACTGAAGAGACTGGGGCCTTTTGACGGGCTCCTTGGTTTCAGCCAGGGAGCTGCGTTAGCAGCCCTTGTGTGTGCCCTTGGCCAGGCAGGCGATGCCCGCTTCCCCTTGCCAAAGTTTATCATCCTGGTATCTGGTTTCTGCCCCCGAGGCCTTGGACCCGAGGAATCCGTCCTGCAGGGCCCCTTGTCACTGCCGTCACTCCATGTTTTTGGAGACACTGCGTCATCCCCTCTCAGGAAAGTATGCAGCTGGCTAGCCGATTCACTGGAGCCATCACACTCACCCACCCTGGTGGTCACTTCATTCCAGTAGCTGCAGCCCAGCGCCAGGCCTACCTCAATTTCTTGGACCAGTTAACAGAGTGAGAAATCAACAAATGTCTCTGCCCCTAATCCCTCACCCCCACATGACCTTGGGGCAGCCTCTGTAATCAGTCCTCTTTTCCCCCCACCCTGCGAGCTCAACCGCTGTTAGTGTTTATCACCATCACCAATTAAGAGACAAGTATCAGTAATTAAGGCTCAAATTATAAGAAGCCCAGCTCTACACTCAAGAAAAAAAAGGGGGGGGATTAGGAGGCCTTAGTGGACATTGGCATCTGATACTCCAACATGAAAAAGGCCGGTGGACCCCCGGATGAGTGGAGGGTAAAATGGGAAAAGCAAGGGCTGGCAGTGTGGCAGCCACATAATAAAGTGGTGATTGTGATTTTGAGCATCCTTTTCCTCATACAGAAAAACCCATTTTGTAACAGAAGTCTGGATTCCTGCCCATCCACACAGCCTCCAGGGCAGCACCACACAGGGAAGTGTTTCTAGTTTTAAGCCCCCAGGGCAAGCTCATGTCTGCACACATTTGGTAGCAGTCTCAAGCCCCAAGCTGAAGGAAAGGAGGCCTTGGTGGCTGAGTGGGAAGAATTTACCTCTGAGCAGTTTTGGGATGAGAGCACCTGGCAAGCTTCTTGTCTGGCCTCCACTGAGTTAGGCTTCCTCTGTCCTGACTGTTGAGGGCTGTATGCTGGCCTTCTGTCAAGCTCTTGGCTTCTTGAGTTCTCTGCTTTCTCCTCCAGAACTGCTTTAGTCCCTCTGAACTATAAGTTTCAAGTGTGGGGTGGTGCTAGACCTTGGGTAGAGGCCCAGGACCACACAGAAGAAACCCTTTAGCAAATTGCCCAGAAACAGAGTTTCTGGGGCTGATGCTACTCTGTAGTGATCCATCCAAGGCCTAATTGCCCCTCCAGTTTTCTTTCTTTTTTTTTTTTTTTTTTTTTTAATATTTTATTTATTCATGAGAAACACGAATTGAGAGAGGCAGAGACACAGGCAGGGGGAGAAGCAGGCTCCATGCAGGGAGCCCGACTGGGACTCCATCCAGGGCCTCCAGGGTCTCCAGGGTCATGCCCTGGGCTGAAGGTGGCGCTAAACCTCTGAGCCCCCCGGGCTGCCCGCCCCTCCAATTTCAGAGTGCATTTGTTCCTAGGCACTCTAGTGCACTTGTTCCTGCTCACTTTAGCTGTTGGCCCTACTTTCAGTGTCCCCACCTGTGGCCCACCCTGCTCTCTGATTTCAGCCCTGCTTCTGCAGGTTCACCACCTTGTTCCTTTTCTGGAATATCACTGGAGGCCCTGGTCCAGCCCTCCAGCATGGTTGCCCTCAGAGAGTTTAGTACTTGAGTAGGATTTGGGGTTAGGGGATACCACACAAATAGTACAGCCCATCCTGAGACAGACTAATGTCCCTTAAATTACCCCAAATCCTGAATTCTTTACCACAGATAGTTTTCTAAGTTTTTCTTGAAGAAAGTTGGGGGCACCTGGGTGGCTCAGTGGTTGAGCATCTGCTTTTGGCTCGAGACGTGATCCTGAAGTTCTGAGATGGAGTCCTGCATCGGGCTCCTGCATAGAGCCTGCTTCTCCCTCTACCTATGTCTCTGCCTCTCTCCGTGTGTCTCATGAATAAATAAAATCTTTAAAAAAAAAAAAAGTTGGAGTTAACCCCACTCCCCAAACAGACCCAGTTTACTGGATTTAGGTCCTTTAGAGCAGAAAGTGGGGATGGGATAGGTCCCACCTTGCCACAGTCTGCCTCTGCTTACACTTAGGTGTTTTAAAGGGATTCCTTCTTTGGCAAGGGGAGGCGACTCGGAAATGGGCCGAATTACTCCTGCAGACCTGTTGCATTTGGCCCATAGGATTTTAGAAAATACTGGATTTACAGTATCTATAATCTTCGGAATATCACACACAGGAAATCAGATTGCTGGCTTCTCTGGAAATGAGCAGCTGAGAATGAAATGTGGATCTGCACTTCAGAGCCTACACACTCTCCTGGCAGTCCTAGGCTGCCCCCTTTAGCAAGGTCCCAAGAGGTGAAAATGAAAACTGCTACCACAGCTCTTGCTGCTTGGAATTTTGTGAGGATTAAAGGAGAGAGAACAAGATACAGTGGGGAATGAATTTTAAGCCAGGGCTAAAAGGATGAGGGTAGAGCAGACAGTATTAGGTGGAGCAGAAGTGCTCAATGCTCAGAGTGGAATTCTCCCTTCCCTACTTCTTCAAGAGTCAGAAAATGTCCACCCTAGAAGGAAAGAGATGGTCCACTGGTTTCCAACAAGTGAGATGTCCTCTCTTGTCATGTCCTTCAGGAACAATGGAGAGAGGGCAGCCCTGGTGGCTCAGCGGTTTAGCACCACTTTCAGCCCAGGGCCTGATCCTGGAGACCCGGGATCGAGTCCCACATCCGGCTCCCTGCATGGGGTCTGTTTTTCCCTTTGCCTGGGTCTCTGCCTCTCTCTGTGTGTCTCTCATGAATATCTATGTCTCGCTAAACTGTACCTGGATGTTGCCACACAACACAATAATTGAAAACCACTGCCTGGGATGCCTGGGTGGCTCAGCAGTTAAGCGTCTGCCTTTGACTCTGGGTGATCCTGGAGTCCCGGGATGGAGTCTCACATTGGGTTCCCTCCCTGAAGCCTGCTTCTCCCTCTGCCTGTGTCTCTGCCTGTGTGTGTGTGTGTGTGTGTGTCATGAATAAATAAAATATTTATTTAAAAAAAAAACACTGCCTTAGTAGAAAATAAACTGCTAAATATGTGCTAATTAAAAAAAAAAAAAACTCGGTCATGTTATTCTCATGCACTTCACTAGGGAGGGGGAGAAATCTCTCCAATTAAGAATCATTCATCTAGGGACGCCTGGGTGGCTCAGCGGTTGAGAGTCTGCCTTCAGCTCAGGGTGTGATCCCAGAGTCCTGGGATCAAGTCCTGCATCGGGCTTCTTGAAGGGAGCTTGCTTCTTCTCCTCCCTCTGCCTATGTCTCTGCCTCTCGTGAATAAATAAAACCTTTAAAAAAAGTCATCCATCTAATATTTTCAATTTATATCTAGGGGAAATGAGGTCCAGAGGATAGGAATACCATTTATTGAGTGCTAGCTATGCCAGATATTGTGAAAAGCAGAGCCTTTAGAGTTGCCCAATTTAATCTTAACAATTTCTTGAGGTAGATACAACTGAGGAAACAGGCACAGAGAAGTTGACTTACCCAAAGTTGGACTCCGATCCAAAAGTCATGTTCCTGAGATATTTACTAGTCATTGTTTTCTCTCCTGCAACTCAGAGGATAAGCAGAGGCCACTCACCATTCACTACTGTTGGGCTACATGTCCTGTCTGGGTCTCATCTTTCTAATCCATAACATAAGTTGGGGGATGGGGTGCACTTAATGAGTTACAGGATACTTAAAAAACAACAACAACAACAAACTCTCTACAGTCAGTTCTCTGGTTTCTACCCCTCCTCTGACCGACGACTTTCTCCAGATAGGTTCAAATTGCAGACAATTTGGTCCCTTTAGAATATACCTACCATTCTCTTTGACTTCTCACTCTATCTTAGATACCTAAAGCTCTTGAGTCCCTGAGCAAAGAATCGCTCCCCTCCACAGCCCCAGTCTGAGAGCTTCTGCTCAGAAAGATGTGCCCCTTCCCCTGTTCATTTTGCCTAAGTGTCCAGAGCTGGGGTCTTCCCAAGGCCACCAGCCCCTCACAAAGACACAAATAGCCTAAATAGAATACTTAAGATTGAAATAGCATTCTGAAGTTTTCAAAGGTTTTTATGCACATTATCCTATTTGATCCTTAGAACAAGTCTGCCAAAAAGGAATATTACCTCGTTTTACACAAGGCTCAGAAACAACCTGGCTCCTTAAATAGTAACCAGTAGGTGATGAAGCCAGGATAGACCTCCTGCTTCCCAGTGCACTACACATTACAATCTGCTCACAGATGTCCCCTGGATTCTAGAATCAAGTATATTTAAGTCTTGGGGTCCTTGAATGGGAGGAAGGAAGCTTGTGGACATTGATTAGCTGTAAAACCAGCACCAATTGTCTTAAAAGTTTAGCAAAGAGGGATTATGGAGAGGTAACAAAAAATTGGATTAATGAGTGGCATGACTGGGTTGCATTAACCATTTATTCCCAGCACAGTCCCTAGGGAAATCCATCAGTCAGCCCCTGCGAGTGTTGGCGGTGGCAGGTGACAGACACGTGTTTTTGACGAGGTCGTTGCTCACACTTCACTGGATCAATAGGACTTCTTCAGCCTTTCTGATATTCACTTTCCCACTGCAGCGCTAATTTGAGACACTATCTCGACTTAGAATCCAGCACAGACTGAGGTGAGGCTGCTGATACATCAGTGTTTTACTGGGTTTACTTTAGAAGCACACTGGCTTCCTGTGGGTTGGGGACCCTTCTTCTTCTTATCTTACATGGATCAGAGGATGAGAGAGTGGGGAGAAGAGTGAGGGAAGGCTGTAACTCCACCAGGAAATGGGTTCAAGGATTAGTCTTGCCTTCTGCCTACTCAGCGAGGGGTTCCCCGGAGAATGCGGTTATGGCATATGAGAAAACTTTACTCCCTCTACTCCTTTCAGTCCCCAGGAGGCCTTCATGTCCCAGCAGTCTCCCTCCCATCGAGGAGATAAAAATAACACAAATCCCAGAACTACCCCTTTTCTCGCCGTTCCCTGGCTACAACCTTAGCTAAGAGAACAGGACGGTCACTGAGGCGGCGGTCAGACATGCTCCCCAGACCGTGCTTCCTTTTCTGTCTTGGTACACACGCAGCAGTCAGACCCGAGAGTAGCCCGCCCTCCAACACCGCACCTCCCTCCGCGCGCAGTACATCGGATCTTGACTCGCCGCCCCCGCTTCCTCCTGCTCCTGGTGTCCCCCATCCCCGGCTGGCTGAGCGCGGCGCGGCGCGTGGGCGTGCTGCGGGGCGACCATGGCTGTAGACTGTTACCTCCGGTTCCCACAGTAACAATCGAAAGCCACGGTTGCCCTGGAGACGCGGGGGCGGGGCGCGCGCTGCTGACTGCACCGTGGCAGCTCCAGTCAGGCAGACGTCAGGACAGCGAGTTGGGGAGGGGGGTGGCGGGGGTAGCACGCGCATAGGGAGCGGGCTCGGGGGCCGTGCGATGTGCTTGTGAGCCGGCCGCCCCTCGCAGCCTCTGGTGACCAGGGACTGTTCGGCCGGATGGCAGCGCCCGCGCTGGATCAGCACCGCGGACAGCGGCGGCGCGGACAGCGCGCGCGGGACTCAGGGATCCGGGGGACAGAGGGGTCGGGGGCGCGGTCCTGGGGCGGAGCCAGGCGTCGGTGGCCGTGACTGGAGACTGTTACTGAGGGCGGCCCGGGCAGTAAGCAGTCTAGAGCCAAGGTGCCGGCGCGCTGCCCGGGCGGGGGTGCCTCCATCGCCCGCAGCTGGGGGCGCTGCTGTTCTTCCTCCCCCGCATCTCCCGCCTTTCTCCGCCCTAGCGCTCGCGGACAGGCACGCGGCCCTTGACGTCAAAGCCCTGTGACGTCAAATATGTCCCTGCGGAGAGGCACTTCCGGCGGCGGGGAGGGGGGTCCCCGCAGCTCAGTGGGGGAGGCGGGGCAGTCCGGCCGAGGCCCCGCCCCCGCCTGGTCCTGAGAGGACAGCTCCTCGCGCAGAAGCGGGAAGTCAGGGGCGCAAAGGGACCAGCCCGACAGGATGGGACGGGGAGGGGGAGCCCGGCTGGATGCGGGGTGGGGGTCCCGAGAGAGCTGCGGCTGGGCCGGCGGGCAGGTGGGTGTCTGTCCTTCGCCGGCGGCCCTGCTCCGCCAGCCGGGGGTAGCGAGGCTGAGTCACTGCGCTGCGGGGAGGGGGAGGTGGGGGCGCGTCTTCTGGGGCGTCAGCACCTTAACCTCACTTTCTTGGATGGCGCAGGAACCCTAGGAAATGTCGCAGGGACCCTGGGGTCGGTCCTCTTCGCTGCTTCTCCGAAGTGGCTGCGTCTTCATCCGGGCGCGGGCAGGTGCAGCACGGGGTTCTGGGTACGCCTCCAGCCCGGCTCCACCAGCTGCGAGGGGATCCTCGTCCCCCACCCTGTTCCCAATCCCACCCGTAGGGGCCCCTCAACCTGCCGTCTGCCGGTCTCCTCAGGGCCCTCCCATCCGTGTCCGTGCATCGGTCCATCTGTAGCCCGTCGGTCGGTCAGTCCCGCTTACCTGTCGGGCCGCAGCGCGCCCGCTCCCGCTCGCCTCCCGCAGCACCGCTGGCGCGGCTGCTTTTATAGGCGCGCGTAGTACTCGTGCGGCGGCTCATTCATGCGGCCGCCGCTCCTACACACTGACGCGCTGCCGACGTCAGCAGGGAATTTAGGAAACGGGAAGAGCGGCTATTTATAGTGGCGAGGCGGGGGGTTGGGAGGGGACAAAGGCGACGGGGAGTTGGGAGGGGGAGGAGGGCACACGGAAGCAAGAACAGGGAGGGGGAGCCGGCCCCTGTACCGGTCTACAAAGGGTTAACTTTCCGGAACTGCAGGCTGGGGGCCGGCGGGAGCCTAGTGCGGGGAGGGCAGATGGCCAGTTACACCTTTACTGACTCTGGGACACGGGGGTGCAATCCCACTCTCCCCCGGCCTTCCGAGGGGCTCGCCCAGTAGCCCCTCACTCCCACTTCTCAGTTCCTGGACCCGACGGCTGTGACGTCACAAGATAACCTTCGGTGGCGTTACACCCCGCATGGCCACCTTCAGTGTCGTCTCCCTGGGGTGGACCTGCTGAGCCACCCAAAGCAGCATCTAGAGCTCTGGCGTCAGGGACATAGGGGAAGAACAGTAGGGGCGCCCAGGGCTCTCAGAGGCTTTGTAGGAGGAGTCTGGGTGAAGAAATAGGGGGGGGGTGTCTAGGTCCCAGTCAGGAGCTGGAGACCCCGGAAAAGTTGAGAAGCGTGGCTTGCCCTCTCTGGCCATGAGCAAGGGGTTCCTCTCTGGGATAGTTGGGGGAAAGGTGGCAGGAGAAGGGGGTGAGTGGAAGAGGAAGCCTCCACAAAGAGAGGGGAGGAGGACAGGTTGGCAGTGCCAGTTTCAGAGCCTGGCACCAAGCAGACTGCGTTCAGGACCCATTTGTGGGCACTGGCAGAGCTCCTATGAGGGTGCTAATGAGTGAGGAAGACCAAGGGCTCAGCAGCTTGATAGCGAGGGATCTCCAGAGGGTGGAGAGGCAAGACCACTTCCTGAAGGAGTTAGAGTTTCTGGAGGTATGAATTGACAGGAAGACCCTAAGCCATATGGTGCAGAATTTCCCTGAACAAGAGCAGGAAAAAGACTTGAGTGTGGCTCCATCAGTTGAGGAAAGTTCTAAATGGAGGAGCGTGAATGTGTTCAGAGAAAGAAGATGGATTGTGTGTGTATGTGGTAGGGGGGAGCAGGGCCACCTTAGTAGGGTGGGTGGTTGCCAGGGAGGGAGGGAAAGATCACAGGCTGAAGAAGTGTGAAGTCCACAGGAAGGCAGCGGGCAGGAGGAGGGGTTCACAGGTCTGAGAGACCCTCCCATACTGATATACAGACAGACAGTCTGACAGACAGTCTGATGGTAGAAATAGGGTCAATGAGTTAATTCAGGGAGTGGGGATCTGGGGAGAGTGTTGAGGAAAAACAAAGACAGTGGGCACAGGGGACACTGCACAAAGGTGAAACTGGGCTGAGGGGCTCCTTGTGGGGCTAGGATCTGGTCCTTTCAAAAGGATAAAAGATTACAGCAGAAACGAAGTCGGAGAGGTCCTGCACAACATTTGGAATCTAACCTCCTGGAGTCCGCCCACCAACTTTTTTTCTTCTGCCTCCAGCCTTTGTCCCTGTGGTTCTCTTCTCCAGGACTGCCTTCTATCTAGGGGAAGAACTCCTATTCATCCGTCAAAGCCCAGTCCTAAGAGCACTTCCTCCGAGGAGCCTTTCCGCCTTTCTCTAGCACTCCATACACCTTTTTCCCCTTCAGCGCACAACACATCCACTCCGCGGCCAAGATGGCCCACCGGAAGCTTCTTGGAATCTCCCTGCAACCCTAGTGAGGAGACCATGGGTAGATGGAGAGGGCTGGAATAAAATGAATCCAGAACACAGAGTAGAAACAGGGTGAGGACAGGGTCGGGACGTGGTGGGAGTCAGGAGAACCAGCGGGAACCGACAACCACCACATGGCCCCCAAGGCCATGAAGACGTTAGCGGAGGAAAGAGAGAGCCTCTGGGGGGCGCCGGAGACCTTACTGTCCGTCAGGGACCGCGAGCAGCTGCGCAGGCGGCCCCTCAATGAGTGACTCAGCTACTACCTCTGGCGGGGGCGCAGGGGTGGAGGATGGCGCGAGGGGCGGCGCGCACCGCACCCACCAGCCCCGCAGCCCGCGCCGTTGCTAAGCTCGCCAAGGCCTGAGAGAGACGGGATCTGCGCGAACCTCAGCGGTTACCATGGTAACGCTGCGCCCCAGCTTCTCGCGCGCGGCGGCTGAGGAAGGCGCAGCCAATCAGAAGCCGCAAGCGTTCTCGGGGACCCGCTCCCACCCCCCCGACGTGTGGGCCGGGGTCAGGAGGTGCGGGGAGGAGGCGCTGCGTGGGCCGCGGAGACCCGGCACTCACTACAGGCCCGATGCAGCGCGGAGGGGGGGCAGGCGGGGCCGCTTCCGGAGTAGCGGTGCGCGTGCCCACGCGCCAGAGCGGGGTCCCCTCCCTCCCAGAGGGCGTCACCTGCCAGAGCCGGGCCTTCACGTGGGAGGCAGAACCTTGCCAGGGGATCCTGGGCTGCAGTCCCTGCGGTCACGTTTCGGGTCAGGGGTTGGAGACGAGGTAGCGCAAGCAGGTCCCTCAAAATGGCTCACTGGGGGGGGGGGGTCGCTTCTGCGGGATCCCCAGGAGGCGCTGTCCAGCCTTTCCCAGTCGAATATCCGGAGTTCCCTCCAGAGACCTCCAAAGTTCAGGGCAAGCTGTTTGGGTAACAGCCCTGCCCAGGCTCAAGGAAGGCCCTACGTGACAGCCTCTGGACTATCCCAGAGAGCCGGGGGGGAAAGGGGAGGGGTGGGCGCCAACATGCGCGCCCGCAGGTGTCAGTGCGCGGAGAGGTCTGGGTGCGAATGGGTTTATTCTGTGCATACCTGAACCCGTGTGGCTGAATGAAGGTGGGCGTGTTGGCGGTGCGGCGGGTATAAACGGACAGCCCCAGCCAGGAATGTCTAAGGAGGCGCTCCCCGAGATCTTGTCCACTTTCTTCTTAGGACTTCTGTAACCTCCCTCCCCTCATCTACTTGCCACCAGAGTCCCCTCCTTGCGGGCAGGACTTCACACCGAGGCAATGTGAGAATCTAGAAATAGGTACATGGGAAAGTTTAGCTCAAAACCCCAGAGTTTGTGGCGCTCGAGGTTCCGGGGCATACTGGGTCCTCACGGGGGCACCTCTGGGAGAGTGAGCCTGCGAATACAGGCCGCTCCCGGGTCCAGCTCCACATCTGTGAGCCTCCAGCCCAACCCAGGTGCGCGGTAGGGAGGTCGCGGCTGTGTCGCGTAAAGCCCCGCACGGCCGCGAGGTGGCGCCATAGCTGCAGCAGCGCGTGCCGGCCCGGGCCGCTCCAGATAAGAGTGTGCGGAAAGCGCGGCGGGGCTGAGACGCGACCAGGACGCGGGGAGGACGGACCAGCAGGACAGACCGACCGGGGCCCCGGCGGGCGGAGGGCAGCACAGCCACGTCCCCCCTGGATCCGCCGGCAGCCGGGCCCGGGGCTTCCGACATGCCCCCCAGGTGGGTCCTCAACCTCGGGACCAGGAGGGACAGGGGATCCGGACGGCCCGGTCCTTACGCGCTGGCCGCCTCGGGCGCATCCTTCGGCCTGGGCGCCCCAACGCGGCTGGCGTCCAGGACTCCGGGTGTCGCCCCTAGAGGACTCGGGACCGCTGGGCCGCTGCTCCGCGCCGAGTTCACGGCGGGGTCAGCGGCCCGGGCCCGACTCTGCCCGCACATGGGCCGGAGAGGCGAAGGGAAGGGAAGGGGAGCTGGCGGGCGGGGCTGGCAGGGGCGCTGCCCTGGCACAGCTCGGCGCCTGGCAGCGGGGCGGGTGGGGCGCCGGCTGGGAGCTGCCACCGCCACGGGCAGGGAAGCCGGGTCGGGCTGCGGCCGCAGGTAACGGGCCGCGAGGCCCTGCGGGCCAGGAGGGGAGCAGGGTGGGCCGGCGAACGAGCGGGCAGGGGAGCGCCGAGCTCCGCTCAGGCCCCAGGGCCGCCTGGCTGCCGAAATTGGGAGCCGAGAGGAAAAGCTGGGAGTCGAGGGACTGGGGCTGGCCCGCTTCTCCCGGCCTGTCTGAAGTTGGGAAACTTTTCCCCAAGTTTGGGGCGGCGGAGTTCCCGTGGAGAAGGGGCCGAAGGGAGCTGGGGAGGGAGGCGCCGGGGCCCGCGAATGCAGAGCTGAGGCCGAGACCGGGGCCAGGACGCGGGTGGGGCGCAGGCCAGGGTCAGGGCCGCAGCCGGCTGTGCGCCGTGCCCGCCCGGGGCGCTGCCCCCTCCCTCCCCTGGGAGCTGCGTGGCTCCCCCCTCCCCCCCACCTGCTTCCTGCCTCAGCCTCCTGCCCCGATATAACGCCCTCCCCGCGCCGGGGCCGGCCTTCGTGTTCTGCCGCCACCGCAGCCTCTGCCTCCGCTCCCCGCGCCGCGGCCGCGCCCGGGCCCCAACTGAAGGCCTGACAGCCCCCGGGCAGGGCGGCGCCAGGGCGGGCACCGCGCACCCCTCCACTGGATCACTTCCCCCAGCTGGGGCAACTTCTCCCGAGGCGGGAGGCGCTTTTTACTCGGCTCCCTTGTATCCCAATTGGGCAAACTTCTCAGCCCTGAATGACTTTTCCTGAAGCGGACATTTTCCTCAAATCCGGTAACTGTCTCCGAAGGGGTCACTTCCCCCAAACAGTGTTCTCCTCGGAAGTCCCCAGACCCCAGCCTGTGTGCCCGGTGCCAGCCGGGCCTGCGCGAGCGGTCCAGCCTGGCCTCCTCTCCACCAGCCACTCGCCTATGCCTTCCGGTGCAGGCCACCGGCCCAGGCTTCCACACCAGGAGGCCGCCGACCCCTCTGCCAGCGCCTAGGCCGCGGTGCGCGATGCCCCAGCCGAGCTGAGGGGAAGGGGAAGTTGGGGGGAGAAGCGCCGGGTTGGATACTGGCAGCGAGGGCTCGGGTGAGGCTCTGACCCGGCTGCGGTGTGTCCCTGCAGGAGAGTGTGCTGGGCAGACGATGCTGGACACGATGGAGGCGCCGGGCCACTCGAGGCAGCTGCTGCTGCAGCTCAACAACCAGCGCACCAAGGGGTTCTTGTGCGACGTGATCATCGTGGTGCAGAACGCCCTCTTCCGCGCGCACAAGAACGTGCTGGCGGCCAGCAGCGCCTACCTCAAGTCCTTGGTGGTGCATGACAACCTGCTCAACCTGGACCATGACATGGTGAGCCCGGCCGTGTTCCGCCTGGTGCTGGACTTCATCTACACCGGCCGCCTGGCTGATGGCGCAGAGGCGGCGGCGGCGGCGGCCGTGGCCCCGGGGGCTGAGCCGAGCCTGGGCGCCGTGCTGGCCGCCGCCAGCTACCTGCAGATCCCCGACCTCGTGGCGCTGTGTAAGAAGCGCCTCAAGCGCCACGGCAAGTACTGCCACCTGCGGGGCGGCGGCGGCGGCGGCGGCGGTTACGCACCCTACGGGAGGCCGGGCCGGGGCCTTCGGGCCGCCACGCCCGTCATCCAGACTTGCTACTCGTCCCCGGCTGGGCCTCCGCCGCCGCCCTCGGGCGAGCCGTCTTCAGGCCCCGAGGCCGCTGTGAACACTCACTGCGCGGAGCTGTACGCCTCGGGCCCCGGCCCGGCCTCCGCACTCTGCGCCCCGGAGCGCCGCTGCTCCCCGCTCTGCGGCCTGGACCTGTCCAAGAAGAGCCCGCCGGGCTCCGCGCCTCCTGAGCGGCCGCCGGGCGAGCGCGACCTGCCCTCACGCCCAGACAGCCCTCCCAGTGCCGGCCCCGCTGCCTACAAGGAGCCACAGCTCGCCCTGCCGCCGCTGCCGCCGCTGCCCTTCCAGAAGCTGGAGGAGGCCGTACCGCCGCCGGACCCGTTCCGCGGCGGCGGCGGCAGCCCGGGACCCGAGCCCCCGGGCCGCCCCGACGGGCCCAGCCTCCTCTACCGCTGGATGAAGCACGAGCCAGGCCTGGGCAGTTACGGCGACGAGCTGGGCCGGGAGCGCGGCTCCCCCAGCGAGCGCTGTGAGGAGCGCGGCGGGGACCCAGCCGCCTCGCCCGGGCTACCCCCGCTGGGCCTGGCGCCGCCGCGCTACCAGGGCAGCCTGGACGGGCCAGGCGCGGGCGGCGACGGCGACGACTACAAGAGCAGCAGCGAGGAGACAGGCAGCAGCGAGGACCCCAGCCCTCCAGGCGGCCACCTCGAGGGCTACCCGTGCCCGCACCTGGCTTACGGCGAGCCCGAGAGCTTCGGCGACAACCTGTACGTGTGCATCCCGTGCGGCAAGGGCTTCCCCAGCTCGGAGCAGCTGAATGCACACGTGGAAGCTCACGTGGAGGAGGAGGAGGCGCTGTATGGCAGGGCCGAGGCGGCCGAGGTAGCCGCGGGGGCCGCCGGCTTGGGGCCCCCTTTTGGAGGCAGTGGGGACAAGGTCCCTGGGGCTCCGGGCGGCCTGGGAGAGCTGCTGCGGCCGTACCGCTGCGCGTCGTGCGACAAGAGCTACAAGGACCCGGCCACGCTGCGGCAGCACGAGAAGACGCACTGGCTGACCCGGCCCTATCCGTGCACCATCTGCGGGAAGAAGTTCACGCAGCGCGGAACCATGACGCGCCACATGCGCAGCCACCTGGGTCTCAAGCCCTTCGCGTGCGACGCGTGCGGCATGCGCTTCACGCGCCAGTACCGCCTCACCGAGCACATGCGCATACACTCGGGCGAGAAGCCCTACGAGTGCCAGGTGTGCGGCGGCAAGTTCGCGCAGCAACGCAACCTCATCAGCCACATGAAGATGCACGCCGTGGGTGGCGCGGCAGGCGCAGCTGGGGCTCTGGCGGGGCTGGGGGGGCTACCCGGCGTCCCCGGCCCCGACGGCAAGGGCAAGCTCGACTTCCCCGAGGGCGTCTTTGCTGTGGCCCGACTCACGGCAGAACAGCTGAGCCTGAAGCAGCAGGACAAGGCAGCCGCGGCCGAGCTGCTGGCGCAGACCACGCACTTCCTGCACGACCCCAAGGTGGCGCTCGAGAGCCTCTACCCGCTGGCCAAGTTCACCGCGGAGCTGGGCCTCAGCCCGGACAAGGCGGCCGAGGTGCTGAGCCAGGGAGCGCACCTGGCCGCCGGACCCGACGGCCGGACCATCGACCGTTTTTCCCCCACCTAGAGCGCCTCCTGCCGGCCTGCATCGTCGCCGCCGCGTGGCCCCGGCCCGCGCCCCCGGGGAACGGCGGTGGCAGCGCGAGCAGGCACCCCGCGCCCGGACAACTGTAGTAGCAGCGGCAGCATCGCCGCAGTGGCGGCGGCCCCACCTGGCCTCACTGCTTTGTGCCTTAGCCCGGGGGTGGGGGTGGGGGTGAAACCCCGGGACGGGGGTGGGATGGGGGAAGGGAGATTTATATTTTTGATATCAGCTTTGACCAAAGGAGACCCCCGCCCTTCTCCGCCTCTTCCTGTGGTTCGTCGGCCCCCTCCCCCGGCTCCGTGCTGCTCTTGGAGGGAGGGGTGTCACTGTTGGGGCGCTCCCGGCCCTACCTCCGGCCCTTGCGACCACACCCATTCTCACTGTGAATCTCCCCGCTGGGGTCGGAGCGTCGGGCAGAGTTAGGGAGCGGGGAGGGGACTGAGCCGGCCGGAGGGCCCCCCACCCCCTGCTCCCGCCCGCCCCGGGACTGATAATGTGAAGTTCCTCATTTTGCACAAGTGGCACTAGCCCCAGGGCCAACCCTTCCCTCCCTCTGGAGTCAGAGGGCTGAGACAGCCCTGGCCTACCGGTCTCCCACTCCCGCAGTGTCCTCCCCATCCCTCTTTTCCCTGGGGCCCCGGACCATATTTATTGCATGCGCCCCGGGCGGCCCCCCACCCGGAGCCCAGGCTGGGCTGGGCTGGAATGTGGTCTCTTTAGCTCCCTCCTCCCCGTTTGTATATTTCCTACCTTGTACACAGGCTCTTCCAGAGCCGCTTCCATTTTCTATACTCGAACCAAACAGCAATAAAGCAGTAACCAAGGACCCTGGACCCTGCTGCTCTCTTCCGCCCTGCATAAGGACCTGGGTGGGTGGAGGGGCCCGATGTGCACCCTCATACAGGTGCAGAGAGGCTTGGGACCTTCTTCCCTCCCCAGTCCCAGAGACAGATGGGCAAGAGGTCAGGCATGTTCATAACTAAAAATTTATTAAGGAAAACAAAACCAGTGCTGCAAATGGGACAGAAAAGAGAGCTGGGTCTCCCACCCACCTAGTCATTGGCCTTCATCCAGGGGAGAGGATCTCACAGGAGAATCCGGGACCCTGTACTCCAAAGAGCCAGTCTTCTGAGGCCCTGGGGGACTTCATACCCCCAAAACACTGGTGGCTCTCCTGCACAGTACCTCCTCCTCCTGGTATAATCTCGGGCCTCAGGGAGGTAGGTACAGCTTTGCTCCCATCCTCTGGGAAGGCTGTACAGTCCAGACAGGGAGCTCAGAGGGATGCCCTCTCTGATCCCATCAAAATTTACTCCTGGATCCTCCTCAAAGTCTTGTCTTCCTCCGAGTTCCTTTAATCCCTGTCCCAGGGTTGGGAGAACCCATTTCCAGTAGGAAGCCCCGTGAATGAGTCTTGGGACACAGGTGCCAGCTAAAGAGGTAACCAAAACCTCAAAGGCCAAAAGGTCCCCTGTCAAATTCTTTCTTCCAGGTCAAAGCTAAAAATGGTGTACACTCCAGGATAGGCAATGCCCCTCTCATGCACTGGCCGCCCTACCTCAGACTGGGCTGCAGGACCTGGAAGTTTCTCAGAGCACAGGGGCCTGAGAAAGAAGGCCAAGGCAGGAAAGCTTTATTAGGTTACTGCCACAGAGGAGGAAGAGGTACCAGAGGAGGCACCAGAGGAGAAAGTCAGAGTGGGAACCCCCATGGCAAGGACCTGAGGTGAAGAATGTGAGGGAGGGAAGAGGGGTCAACAGGAAAGGGAATGAGGATAAGGGGATGATTCAGGAGGGAGGGAGGGAGGGAGGGAGCTGAGGGGGGGGGGACTGAGAAGAGTCTGAAGAAATTTTGTGAAATGGGAACTAGAGCAAAAGGAAGGCCAATGAGGGAGAGGAGCAGGCAAAGGCCACCCAGGAAGCATGAGCCTGAGACCAGATGTCCCTTCCCTCTAGACCCATGACCATCCAAGGGAGAATGAGTGGCAAAGTGTAATGGACCCAGAATGATAAGGACAGGAAGAAGAGCAGTGATGGATGTGTGTTTGGGTAGGGGGTAGAAAAGGTGGGGCCTAGGGCTGCTGTTGGGGACATGGTGTCCAGAGAAGACACACCCTGGGCACTCTCTTCATGGTATGACCAAAGCCTCTTGGGACACATTGAGGACAGAGGTTGTGAAGATTAAAAGGACCCATCGTTTCACCTGCACCTGATGGAAATGCAATCCCTTGCTCTATCTCCAGCTGAGAGAGTGGCTGAGTCCCTGGGCTGAGGAGGCCTTCTGCAAGCCCTTGAACTAGACAGGGGGAGGGAGAAAGGCTGAAATCATGGGCGGCCTGTCTGGCTCACCCACCTGCTGTCACTGCAGCCAGCCACCTCTCTGCTAAATCTTGGCAGCCCAGGAGGGTCCCAGCAGCTTCCGCCCGACCCTCAGGAGGGGCTCTGTGAGGAGCAGCTCCCCCACAGCATGGCCACGGTGTGGGTTGGAAGAGGATGGTTTATTGTCTGGGTGGATTGGTGGCTCAGGCACGTGGGCATCTTCGGTGCTACACTGGGCGCCTGGTGGCCTCTCAGGAATGGTTCCATGGGGGGGTCCCCAGTGCGGCCCCCTCAGCCCACCTGGGCCCACGTGAGGAAGGCTGGGATGTCCCGCACAGGCACATTCCTCGTCAGTGCCTTCACACGCAGGTTGCGGTCATCTGTCAACAGCACCACCTCCCGCAGCAGCCGGATTGGTTCCTCTGTAGGCATGAGAGAGTAGAAGGACTTCACTGAGGGCAGGAGGCAGAGAGAGGCAGAGGCTCCCTCTCCTCTCTCCAAGGGGGAATGTGGCCCAGGAAGGGTCAGGGCCAGTTATTTCTTGGCTCTTTTACAAGTCTTTCCCTCATGCCATCAACGAGGGTACCCCTCTCCTACTGGCTTAGGAAGGACCACGCAGGGCCAGGGCTGGCCTTCTGCTTCAGACCCCAGCCTCCAACCCAGGACTTAGTGGCCTCATGCCCAGAGATCTGCCCATGCCACTGGCCTCCACAGACCCCTCTCCCAGGACACTGAACTGTGGGAGCAGATGAAGCCCTTTTCCTTCTGCTCCTTCGGACTGCATGGCTGGTCCTGGGCTCACAATGACTCCTCTCTTCTTGCGCATCCTCTCCCTCCAAGACTAGCAGGTTACTGCTTTAGCTCAAGATGGAATCTAAAGTGTATCCAGGCCCCCAGATGTGAGGAGAAGGGTTAGTTCAACGTAGCTCTGAGGAGAGGAGGGCAAGCAAGGGTCCCTGGTAGAGCCGTGCCAAGATGGCTGAGTTAGAGGCAATTTCCTCTATTACATGAAAGTAATCAATGTAAAAGTAAAGGGTGAGAACCTCTAACAATACAGAAGAGGACAAAGGAAAGGAAAAGTCAAAGTCATCCTCCTGGTTCTCTCCCTTCAGGGCTAAGATCTATGCATACTTTGAGATTTTTTGATGCCCATGTGCAAGTATATATACTTGTTACATAAGCTTTTTTCCCAAAAACATTACAATCATACTAGCCATATTTATTTTATTCAAATGTTTTTTTTTTAAGATTTTATTTATTTATTCATCAGAGACACAGAGAAAGAGAGAGGCAGAGACACAGGCAGAGGGAGAAGCAGGCTCCATGCAGTGAGCCTGATGTGGGACTCAGTCCCGGGACTTGATCCCAGGACTCCAGGATCATGCCTTGGGCCGAAGGCAGGTGCTAAACCACTGAGCCACTCAGGGATCCCCTATTTTATTCAAATTTGATAAATTTTAAAGCCCTTTCTGTATCAGCACAAGCAGCCTTTGTTCTTTTCAGATGACCTCTTAGCAAGATGTCTTCCACTACCTCTCTTCTCCAAATTCCCTAACCTTTCAATGTACTGGAGAGAATTTAAGCCAGGGCCAAGTACCCACACGAGTGACATCCCCACCCCAGGTCAGGCCACTCAGTGGTAGGCCCACCCCTCAGCCCTTAGTCCCAGGCTGGGTATTTCCTGACGGAGGTCCGGCAGACAGTGAGGCACAGGAAATGTCCTGCGGGGCTTACTAACTGCGGGGGGGCTGGCGGGGCTGGGCAGTTGCAAGTGTCCAGGTCTGGACCTGAGCAGTTTCAGGCTTGCCAGCTCCAGGCGGGGAGGCTGAGAACTGGCTGTCAGCCTGGGAGGAGTTTGGGGGAAGAGGGAGGGAGAGGCTCATGAGGCTGACACTGGTGGGAGAAGGGGACGGGCGGAAGGAGAATGGGTGGGAGGTGAGGGCTGCGGTGGGCAGAAAGGGAGAGGAAAGGCCACATGAGCAGAGATGATGCTCTTAGATGGCTCTGCTGCCTGGGCCTGGCTCTTCAGGCGTGGGTGTGCTGGCTGTGCTTTCTGGGGTTCCCAGCTGGCTGCTCGAGGTAGCCCCACAGCTCCTGTCCTGGGGCTTAGACCAAGAGAGTCCCAGGCCTTAGGATAGACGACTAAGGCCCAGCATTGCTGGCAGGGGTCTGCAGGGGTTTCTGTGGATACTTTCAGACATTTTTAACAATAAACATCCTCTGTTTTGACACTGGTAACTTCACTTTGTTAGAAACCAGAGACTGTCATCTTGTCAGGCCCCATCCGCCATAATCCACATGATTTTAAAATTCAACATCGTTTACACATAAACATTTAGTGACGGTTTCTCTGTGAATCTGACAAGTTAATCTGCTAAGAATTCACACTGACAAATGGGGTTTGATTACACTAGCCATTGCTGATGTAATTCTGATAGGGGCGGTCCCCAGGATGGCAATGGGTTCCTGCAGGCTGTTTGGGGTGAAGTGGGGGTGGAGAGACTAGTAAGGCCAAAGCCAAAATGTGTCTCAGCTAAGAAAGAAAGTTCCGAGGCTGGGTGGGGCCGTGGCAGTACTGGAACCATACTTCTCAACAAGGCCTTCTGCAAGGTTGCCTACTTCTCTCTCAGAAGGTGCCCCTCTAAGAAGCTGCCTGGGAGCAGAGCCCAAGCTCCTCTATTGGACCCCTTTCTACCACTTCACTGCTCCAGGTCTGGCCCCAAGGGACAAAACATGCAAGCATCGTGGCAGGACTCCCCTGAAGAACAGCACTGTGGGCTCATTATGAGCCTCTGATGCAGAAAGCCAGGCAGGAGTGAGGGGCTACATGGACACAGGTG